GGGAAGCTGGTGGTGGCAGCCAGGGGAAGGAAGGCCTACACTTGCACGAATTTCGTGCATCAGGCCTCTAGCAAAAGGAATAAAGAAGTATATATAACCACAGATCCTGTAGACCTCAAACTAATAAAATAATTTTAGAAACAACTTTATATCAAGAAATTTATCAACTCAGCATATTTGTACAATGGAAAACTTCTAAGCAAACTCATACACAGAACAACATGGATACACCACAACCCTATTACCTTTGATCAGGGGAGACAAGCACAAAAGTCTCTATGGTGTTCTAAAACTAGCAGAGCTAATTTACGGTGGGACATAAAATCAGATCAGTGCTTGCATGTGGGGCAGGAGGTGAGACAACTGGAATTCACTGTCAAAACTCATCACAGCCTTAACCGGTTTGGCTCAGTGGATAGAGCGTCAGCCTGCGGACTCAAGGGTCCCTGGTTCGATTCCGGTCAAGGGCATGTACCTTGGTTGAGGGCACATCCCCAGTAGGGAGTGTGCAGGAGGCAGCTGATCGATGCTTCTCTCTCATCGATGCTTCTAACTCTCTATCCCTCTCCTTTCCTCTCTGTAAAAAAATCAATAAAATATATTTAAAAAAAAAACTCATCACATTGTACACTTAAACACCTGAACTTTATTGAATATAAATTTACTTCAATAAAAGTGATTTTTGAGAAAAAAATTTTAAAATATCACAAAAATGGGAAGCATTGTGAATTTAGTTCAATTTTTTTTTCTTTAATTCTTCAAAATTTTAAAATTACTTCTTTTCTACTATATACCGTCTTAACATAACAGGAAGCACAACTGTGGGCCAGGAAGTATGCTAGAAGCTTCCACACAGGCCACTGCACAAGGTTGTGTCTTTAATTCATGCCAAGACCGAGCACGGTGCCTTGAGAGACAGAAAAAACAATAAAGCTGGAACCAGAAGACTTGGTTTCAAATAATGACCATATGTGATCTCTTAGTTTCAGGACTGTAGACAAGTGACTTAATTTTAAACTTCATCAACTAAAGGAATGATGTGAAGATTAAGAGATATTAAAGTAGACAATGGTTAAATGAAAAACATAAACAACAGCATGGACAGGGAAGGAGTAGGCAGGAAGATACAGGGGAGAGCCTGTTTCAAATCAGGTATTTGTCTGTGCACGGGTAGAGGAAAGGGTGGAAGAGAGGCGCCCAGTGTGATGACTTAATACCATGTTCCTGTCATGAGCAGTGGGTGCAGTGATTAGGAAAGGGTTGGCTGATGTCCCAGAGTGAATATACTTTCATTATGTCCTGAACAACAGCATTCTGGTCTGGCAATCCCTTGTCCTGACAAGGAGCGTGAAAAGGGAGGCTCCTTGTCCACTTAAGACTCCAAGGGTGGGTTCCTAAGAGTTGCGGACAGTCTTCTATTACTACACATCTTTTAAGTGCCGACATGATTGATGATCACCCATTCTTTCTCATCCTTAGGTTTTCAGAGATTCTGCTCTGAATGAGAAGAGATCTGGATACAGCAGCAGTGAGCAGTCATCATTCATGCCTAGTAGGCTGACCTTCAGTAGAGTCCCAGGGAACAATGTTAGCTGGACAGAGTATCCTAAAAGTATATGAGTATAAAAACCTGGAGGGTGGCTCTGGCCGGTTTTGCTCAGTGGATAGAGCATCGGCCTGCAGACTGAAGGGTCCCAGGTTTAATTCTGGTCGGGGGCATGTGCTTTGGTTGCGGGCACATCCCCAGTGGGGGGTGTGCAGGAGGCAGCTGATCGATGTTTCTCTCTCATCGATGTTTCTGGCTCTCTATCCCTTTCCCTTCCTCTCTGTAAAGAAACCAATAGAAAATATTTTTTTTAAAAAAATCTGGAGGGTGACCTCAAAGACACCCGGATTTAAGACCTAAGAAGTCTCGTATCTTCACCCAAATATGGAGCCACTTGTAGGGCACCTAGAAATTCAAAACTCGATCACAGAGCAGTGCGACAAGTTATCTGACAGAGGTTTTAACAGAATGCGACGGGGGTGCACAGAAGCGATAATGAACCAAGTGGTGGGGAAGAAACAGTGCTGGGACACATTCTCGAGAAGAGTGACACCTGTGCTGAATCCAAAGATGCTAAGAAGTTATTTGGGCAAAACATATTTCAAGGCAAGGGGCACAGCACAAACAAAGACTCAAAAGGGTTGGACAGTGACATTCACAGAAAACTGCAAGCAATTCCACAGAACTGGAGCATATGGCGAGAAGGGAGAATGGGGAGACGGCAGAGGCCCAGGCAGGGTCTTGGGAAGGGCCGCTTTAAAAATCGGGCTGAAGGAACTTGCAGTTTACCTTGAAGATGAAGGAAAGTCATTGCAGGATTTTAAGCAAGGAGTACCGCAATCAAATAGATCATTTCTGAGAGATCATTCTGGCAACACTGTGGAGAACAGACTCGAGGGGGACGAACGCAGATATGGGGACAGTGAGGAGCGGCGGAGAGCGGCCCAGGGGGAGCGGGGCCCGGGCGCTGATGGCTGGC